GTTTTTTAAAAATTTCCAGAATGTCATACACATTGATGAAAAATGGTTTTTCCTGTCCAAAACATCACAAAGATAATACATGGGCCTACAAGAGCAGGATCCACAGAGTATGCAAGTCCAAAAGATTCATAACTAAAGTTTGAGTTTTGCTAGGGGTACACAAAATGTGTACACATGTTTGTCCTTCACAGAAATTTTATCTGTCACAGACAACTCAAAATGAATTGTCTGTGACAGACAAAATTTCTGTGAAGGACAGACATGTTTTTGTGTACCTCAAGCATTTTTCCTAAAGTTATGTCACTAGGAGCAGTTGGTTGGCCTCTATTTTCAGAAAATGGTGATGTTATTTGGGATGGCAAAATTGGTATCTTCCCATTTAATGAGAAAGTGGCAGCTAAACGAAAAAGGGTCATGGAAACCAAGTGTATACTTTTAATTAGCATTACAAAAGCAGTGTTTAAGGACATGCTAATAAACACAGTGCTACCAACAATCAATGAGAAATGGCCACAACAATTAAGCAAGGAAATCATAATCCAACAGGATAATGCAAGGCCACACATTCTAGATTCTGATCCAGATTGTATGGTTGCCTCTCAAGCTGATGGGTTTAATATTACCCTTATTAATCAGCTCCCTAATTCCCCAGATCTCAACATACTAGACCTTGGATTCTTTAGGGCAATCCAGTTTCTAAAAGACCAGAAAGCACCTAAGAATGTGGATGAAATGTTACACGCAGATGATGAGGCATTCTATGAGCTTCACCCATCACTTTCAATAAGGTGTGGCTTAGCTTTCAATATGTGATGCTAGAGATATTCAAAGCGGGGGGGACTACAAGGTACCACATACTGCAAAGGATAGGCTGATCACATAAGGAACTCTACCCATAAACATAGAGGTAGGTGTGGAGCCGCTAGATACTGTAGGAGTTATTTTATCCTAGCCAGTATATACCACTAATACTACTCATGACTCAGAAGAGCCAAGTAATGGGCAGCTCATACTAGAAGATGATGAGGAATAGATCATCTTCAGTCATGAACTCAATCTATTATTGTAAAGGCAATTTTTGTCATTTTGTAAAGGCCTATAGTTATTTAAATTTAGAAAGGCCTAAGTTTTTGTCATTTGGTGAAGGCCTATATTTTTGTCATATTGTAAAAGCCCATTTTTGTGAATTAGTACTGACTATTTTTGTAGCTACTCAGAATTGAATTCATCATTCTAGCATAACAAAAAATTGCTCAGACTACAGATGGTCATCATAGCAGCCTCGCCTAATATGCATCATCATAGTACCCTCACACAAACCATGTTTAGATCCGGGCTAATGCTTGCTCAGGGAAGGTCATCATAGAAGCCTGCCACAGGCCTTGGTCAGACCTGGGATGGTCAACATAGCAGCCTCACATAACAACCAAACATAGATAACATCACACAAACCATGTTTAGACCTGAGCTAATGCTTGCTCAGACCTGGGAAGGTCATCATAGCAGCTTGTCACAAGACTTGGTCAGGCCAGGGGTGGTCATCATAGCAGCCTCACATAACAACCAAACATAGATAACATCACACATTTCACACATATTCATCACAGATAACAAACTCACACATACCATGCTTAGACATGGGCTAATGCTTACTCAGGAGTGGGAAGGGCATCATAGTAGCATGCCACATGTCTTGCTCAAACCTGGGATGCTCAACATAGCATCTTGGGCTAATGCTTGCTCAGACCAGAAATGGTCATCATAGCAGCCTGCCACAAGGGTTGCTGAGACCTGGGATGGTCATCACGGCACCACCACATAACAACCAAACATAGATAACATCACACATTTCAGACATATTCATCACAGATAACAAGCAAAGATTGCTCAAGCAATATTCAATAATACCAGCCTCACACATACCATGCTTGCTCAGACTTGAGATGGTCAACATAGCAGCCAGGGTTAATGCTTGCCCAGACCACAAATGGTCATCACCGCAGCCTGCCACAAGTCTTGCTAAGACCTAGGATGGTCATCATAGCAGCCTGACATACGAACCAAAGATACATAACATCCAAAGCATCCTCAAATATTCATCACAGATGACAACCAACAATTGCAGTCCTACACACACCATATACTCATCATTGCTGCCCCAAATTCAAACACTTTCACATTAGAAGATGACCATTCATGCAACAAAGTTAAATCAGTCAAACATAATGACACAGGAAGACAGGTTAAGATAGAAACTCCCCTATTATGTGTCAATGTCCCACATCCTAGACTCCCAACCAGATAGAATGATTTTTAAGAAGGACTCCAGACGGGGATTGCGAAGAGGGTGCATTTGCACCTCTCTCCGTCTTCTAGAGGCTTCAGACTCTGCAACCTACTGGTGGTCAGCCATCTCCTTCTGCTCTTCACTGTACGGTATCATAGCCTCCATCGAAAGTTGATGGTGTTCATCGTCCAACTCTTCTTCACTGTCCGGAACCCCTAGCTCCAACGAACCTTCACCGTCTACCTCGTCTGACTCCTCTTCGCTATCTGGAACCACAAGATCCTCCATGCATTCATTGTATTCCACTGGATCTTGACCAAGGGCTCGGGGGCTTGATTTTTCATCCATGGAAGTTAGATGTAGGGGTTGGGAATTTTAGAAAAGGAGCAACAATTAGATCGAAGAAGGAGCTGGGGTTAAAGCGGAATTGAAATCAGAGAAAGAGAGAGTTTTATTCCGTACAACAATGGAGGAGTGGAAGACCGAAGGAGGTTAGATCGTAATTGAGAAAGAGAGAGAGGGAGATGGATCGATTAGGGTTAGATGTGATGGGGCGCAGAGAGTATAGGGGGCGGGGAGATACAGAAGTGGGAAGGTAAATATTTGATAGGGGTAGGGGGTTAGGTGGGAAAACTTTCCATTTTTAGTAAGTGGGGAGAATTTTTTGGGACAACACAAAAAGGAAAGTGGGAAGAATTTTTTTGGGACGGAGGGAGTATTTGTAAAAGTTATATACTTTGTGAACATGTAGCGTAAGTGTTAAAAAAATTAATTTATTTTCTTTTTATGAACTTGTTGACTAAGTTTTTGGAATGGTAGAGAAAAAATCGTTCAAGAATTTGGCCACTTTGTGAACCATGGTTGTGGCGTATCATAGGGACTTGAGGAGGAAGCTAACTTGTATATGATGGTGTTGCAAGAAGGGAACTAGGATTAGATTGGTTCACGAATATAATTTTGAGCTTGACTTTCATCGTCAGATGGGCATTCCAAGCAAGACACTTCTTACATTGAGCTTGTGACATTGTTTTTGGCGAGTTGTCCATCGCTAGAGAAGAGAGCACAGTGGAATTCTGCCAGCTAGTGGGTTACCCCTTAGTCGTTGTTCAGGAACATGCAACATCGTCCTATTGTTGGAACTTGGAAAACGACTTTTAACTTAATATTTTGGACAACTTGGAGATAAAATAGTAAGGCACTCACAACTTTTTTGGTGGGACCAAGTCATAACTTATTGTACTCCATGAAGTGAACGTTCTCATATACTAATTTGTGGACATCCAATTTGAACTAATTGTAAAATTGTCCCCCGAAGTTTCCTCAAAGCTAGTTTCATATAGGAAGTTTCTCCCACTAAAATTTTTAAGCAAAATTGGAGGTTTCTGATAAACCAAAATTTGTTATTGGGTTGGGCCCCAAGGGACACCATAGTTTTGATTGATCAAATTCAAATTTGTGTCTCCTGTTTAGAGCACTTTAAATCCACTAAGTCTGATTGCATTTTGAACAAATCTCAACATCTAGAGTCCTGCGAGAGAATGCATATGCAGGAAAATTTGTCTTAGGTAGACAACAATCATTTGTTGGGTTCAGTTTCATCTTCTAATAGTACGTTTTATCTTCGCATTTATTATTTTCTGTTTGCAGTTTATTTGATATACGTAGCCAAAACTTATGTCGTGAGTGAATCGTACTCTGTGAAGTTCCAATGTGGCAGCAGCGTCATTGTAGCACCTTTTTTGTTAAGGAAGCGTACACTTAAATATAAGCTCTTCACCGTATATAAGCTAATGGTGATGCTCTACATTGAATAAACAAACATAAGGGCATTATATATAGACAATTAATTGTTAGATTCAGGGGAGACAAGAACGAGCACCTCCAAATGCTGCACCATCTACGGTGCTGGCAGAGGATTATAATGGTGGAGATCTCAAACGCTTTCCGGCAATTGATATTCTATTATGGATGTTTCTATGTGTGTTTGGCAGTAATGGTGCTATGGTGCATCCATTAATTTCTACCCAACAGAGGTGTTATGAGGGCAAACTTTTCCAATAATGGAGACGTGATTTTGGTTCTTCATCATCATTACACCAATGCCGCAAAAACTGTTTCTTGATGATCCATGGTGAGCATGAGATGATTGTTGTTTCATAACAAAGAAGTGCAGACAGTTTATTGAGTCATTTTGCTTTACTTCATCATATTCTCAAGTCAAAAAAATATTGAATCTTTGGCTTCTTTACAAATCTGGTGCTTTTGAGGGCGGATTCGTAGGTTGCAAGTTTCTCTACATTGGACATCTTCTTTAAGGTAGGCCTTCTAGGAGGTCATCATGGAAATCGTATGAGACCTTGAATCTACTCATTTTCATAGTTATGAGTTCAACTTTTATCCTATTATGCACATGTGATTCAGCTTGGCCCCCTCCCAAAGCACCACCATGGGGTACAGGGTTGGTGAGTGGGGTTAGATTTCATAAACATCAAGGTGCTCGTGTGGCGCTTTGATGATCTGGACAAGTGTCATGAAGTTGATCAAAATCTTTCGACTTATTAAGTTTACATTGGTCTTTTTTTGTGAGTTAGAAGTTGTTAGTGATTTTAGATTATGTTACTCTGTTGTTTTTATTTCGTCTGAGGTCAATAATCGATTATGTTTAGTAAGGAGTATTGTAGCTTGTAATGCAAAAATGAGCTTCTCACAAGTAATGTAATTGAAAGAGTGATCAGCTTTGCATCTCAGGTGAGTGTGAGAGTTATTAGAATACATGCACTAAATGGCTGAATGTATGTATGACATAGCACAAAATTTAGATGATAAAGATACAAATACATTGAGAAATAAATTTAAAAGTACATCTCCCAAAGAAAAAAGTCATTTTAGGTGTTAAGCTCATTGTTGGTTAGCTAATTAAACTAAGAACATATATCAAGGATAAGCATTTGGGTAGTTCTATGGTACACAATAATTGAAAGAGACGAAGAAAAAAAATGGTGTAGTGTGAATCCTCCGACCTATATTGTCCTTAGTCTGCAGCGCTGGAAGACTGTTCAGAGCTCTCCTTCATTTTCTTGATTGCTGAAAACAGATTTAGTGTCCGAAGTCAACTCTCAAATAAAGCCTTAACAACAAAATAAAAGAAGAATAGTGTTTTCTTGATTTAAAGAAGAAATAGTAGCGTTTTCTAGATCAGAGAAGAGAGCCTTGACAAATGAAACTTGCATATGATTTCTAGATTTTCAGATAATAAAAGTATGACTAGTTTTTTTTAATAATGTGACATACTATTTTCAAAGGAAACTAAGTTGCTACTGTGGGAGGTTTATTTGATAGTTTTCAAAGCCCATAAAGGAACTTATTACTATCATATCAGGCATTAAGTTCCCCTCAACTTTACAGCATTAAGTTCCAGTTTTGGGCATTCAACTCTCTTCTATGATTCGTTTAAGGGTGTTGATTGGATTGAAATTTATTGATTTGATCGAACTTAGTTTGTTTAAAGTCTAATATATAACCCGAACTGATTTGATCTGGCCCAGCACGTGTCTACTTGACATGTATTCTATTGTTATTTAAGTCTAGTCTGGTCCGATTCAGTCTGGTTTGATTTGAGACTGATATCAGTCTAATTATAAACATCTTAAGTTACCAAACTTGAATTTGAATAACAAATACGGGACTTTCCCGAATTAGGAGTAAAAAAAATAAAATTCCAAAACAAGAGTATTATCTTTTTCCCCTAAATAGGAGTAACTTAATTTCATCCTGAAAACTCTATTGTCATATTTTGGCATTACCAAATTTCAATATGACAATATGTGGTAGTCAGCGGCAATTTCTAGGAGCAGTTTCCAGTTACATTCTCCAGCACCAGTTTTGCAATTCTGCGATGATTTTTTCCAGTAGAGGAAACTTACAGTGACTTTTATGGTGGCAGTTTTCTAAACGGGTTTTGAAATGTTTCAAACAATTATTACCAGCTATGACAGCAAATGATCATGGTGGCCAGCAATGGTAATCAATGACTTAAATGAGTACATAGTCATTATTTTTGAGTACTAAAATGAGGATATTTTAATCACATAATGTATTTCAAGTTCTATAAGTTTGTATAGTCCTATCCATATTTGTCCTATGTTTTACTTTTTTTTAGAGGGAAGTCCTATGTTTTAGTTATATTCAGGGATAGGTGTGGTGTCTTGTGTGTATGCGATTCATATTAATCTACAATTTGCTAAACGTATCAGAATCATATTCCTATAATCTCAGTAACCTGATTAAAAGTGCCAGCCAAATAGGCACAAGTTGCGTCATGATAAAACTCAATAGCAGTTGCTAGGAGTTCGATTCATCGATTGTAATCACCTTGTCCCATGGCAAAGTTTGCTGAGGTCTTCACACAAAATCTTGGCTACACTTCCTACCTTGATGGATCCCTTCTTTATCAATTCCGACAACTGTTTAAGAACAGCATTTGTAATTATGTACAGTATATATAGCAACCGTCAAACCGAGTGATGATGATGATGATGATATATAGCAACCGAGTATGAACAACAATAGCATGAAACTGCTCTTTCAATAGAGGCATGAAATAATCAATAATGAACTTTAACTACCTCATCTTCAGTGTCCTCCAGCAACCTGACATATTGCAGAGCTAAGTTAAAGCTCTAGACGTTGTGAGGAAACTAAAAGCCCATTGGCAATGTCTAACTTTTTTCTAAACTTACCTCCCACAGAAAGATGATATTGATTTGGAATGTACTCGAGCTTCTTGCTTATCTGTCAACAAAAACAAAACAAAAGAAAGGAATTTATGATACACGCCATATGTAAAATGCATTACAGGAATTCCAAAATCAGGCAATATGTGTTAAGGAAGAGGTGCAAATACACTGCAAACACGTTTGATCTGTACAACAAAATGAGCCCATTATGTTTTCTTTCGGCCAGTGCGGCAGAGCTAGAATTGAAAACCTTAAGTTAACTAAACCTAAACCATTAACCTGAAGAAAGGCTTGAAAATGAACAGAGACTGGCAGACATTCATATCTCAAGAATAAACAATACCAAGCTAATTGAGAGTGGTACTCATTTTTCATTTTCATTTTCATTTACCCCAGTGCCGCAAAGGCTCCCACCTACGGTGGGGTAAGGGGGGGTCGGACGTACGCAGTCTTACCCCTGTACTAAAGCACAGAGAGACTGTTTCCGGATGACCCATAGTGAAAATCGCGTCCAAAATTGCATGGACTGGCTGCTGCTTCATAACAAAGAAGCGCAGACAGTTTAGTGAGCCATTTTGCTTTATTCCATCATATTCTCAAGTCAAAAAATAATGAATCTTTGGCTCCATTGCAAATGATGCAAAACTAATTGAGAGTGGACCGAGTGGTACTCATTTTCATTTCATTTTCATTTACCCTAGTGCCGCAAAGGCTCCCACCTATGGGTGGGGTAAGGGGGGGTCGGATGTACGCAGTCTTACCCTGTACTAAAGCACAAAGAGACTGTTTCCGGATGACCCATACTGAAAATCGCGTCCAAAATTGGACTGACTGCTACTTCATAACAAAGAAGCGCAGACAGTTTAGTGAGCCATTTTGTTTATCCATTATATTCTCAAGCCAAAAAATAATGAATCTTTGGCTCCATTGCAAATGATGGAACTGGTACTATATAACTTAATTTCAATGATAAAAGTAATTTAACTCTAATTTGCCAAATAGGTATAGAACTATAGACAAGTAATTCACATTATTCATACACAACAGTTCATGAGAGAATAAAGCATACTGAGGGAAAATGTCATTTTATTCAAGAAAAGATCCGGAAAGGATTAATCTATACGGGATATGTCAAGACTAGAGAACATTAAGAGGCTATTCACCAAGGCACTGAATGGAATACAGGTAAATTATTTATGTAACAAGTCATACATGATAAAAGAATCTGCTCTAGCTTGAGGAGGAGAGTAGAATATTGTAGAAATTCTATAGAATAAAGGGCAGCCTAGTGCACGAAGGCATCCCCACAAGGCAGGGTCCGGGGAAGGGTCCCGCCAGAAGGGTGCATGAGGGGCAAGCCTTCCCCTATCAAATTTTGACAGGAAGACACTCCCAAGACTTGAACCTGTGACCTCGGTCACACAACAACAACTTAACTGGTGCAACAAGGCTCCCTTTCTGTAGAAGTTCTTTAGAATATTTAAGGAAAATTCTTTAGAATATTGTAGGAACAACTTTCTTATATTTAGGAATATCAAATATGCTAAAATTGTAATGTATATATAGGGACTTAAACCCTCAATTGTAAAGTATATATAGGGACTTAAACCCTCAAATAAAGATATATAGAAACTCTAGCTCTTCTTATTTCATTTCTAAATTACCAAACAAATATGAAATTGTAATTCTTTCTTTTGCGGTTGACAAGTAAAAGAAAACAAGATCCATTTTTCCTATATCCTTTGTAGACACAAATATTGGCTATGGAAACTAGAGTACTGGATGAATATTCAAGTCAGTAGCAATTCAAATCAAATAAAATTGACAACCATCCTAGCTCCATTATGAGCATCAAAATCCTCTAAGCCCAAGGTTGGGTTGATTGGGGGTTGAAATTGAATATCTGTTGTTAAAATAATGGGAATTAGATAAAAGGTTGCTTTAAATGATAGGAATTCACCCTATTCATGGGAAGTGAGAAAATTGGACGGACTTATAGTGCTGGTGATACCTCCAACTTCAGGAATTGTCAATAACTTTGATTCTAAATGAGGGCACACTATGTGATTCTCAGGATAAGAGAATTTACGAGAATTGAGCATCTTTCCACACAGGTCTAAAAGAGAATGCGCACAGATGTTTGCCAAGCCGCAGTTCTTGTCTTACCCATTTTATCTAGCAGATCATAGGCCCTTAAAACATCAAATGAATCTAATACATTATTTTCTGCCCATTTCTTGTCACTAAATACTAGATATGTCGCACAGAAGAAAACATACTTCTTGCATATAAACCGCCTACCATACTCGTCTATATTCTACAGATTCAAATAAAATGATTTCCCACATGAAAAAAATTGTCAATTAGACATATGTACGTATGTTACTCATAATGGAATGCCTAGTTTATATGACCCTCATGTCTTTCTAAGAATCAATCTTTTGTCTCTTTTGTCTCCCAGCATTCGCATATAAATTGAGGGATGTATTTTAAAAGCATGGGCGTGTATTTTCTTCCCTTTTATGATGAAACCTCAATACCTCATGGAGAAGAAGTTAAACTTAAGACTTTTCTACATAGTCTAAAACTGATGGAACAACAAAGCTTGATTCATCATTACCCCAGTGCTGCAAAGGCTCCCACCTACGGTGGGGTAAGGGGGGTCGGATGTACGCAGCCTTACCCCTGTACTAAAGCACGGAGAGACTGTTTCCGGATGACCCATGGTGAAAATCGCGTCGAAAATTGCATTAACTGACTGTTGATTCATAATAATGAAGCCTGATTAAGATGGGATTTCCTACTAAGAATTGTAATTATGAATGGACCTTATGGACGGACATACCATTCATTTATCAAGGAAATTTAACTTTACCACTCTTCCTAATGCTCCATCTTCAATTCGGGTTTAGTGTGAGCATGTCCTTAGAGAACCAAATATCTAGTGCTAAGCAATTAAAAACCAGAATACTGAATATTTTGGAACTACCACTTTTATGTTCCCAGTTCCAACGCTTTTAGAAAACATTCCATGCACTGTCTGTGTACAGTATAGGCGGCAAAGCGATTATGTTACAGCATCTTTCAGTTCTAAGAGGATGACATTCTATGTAACATAGGGGATGCAATTAATAGCCATACACAACATGCCACATCTCAGCTCAAACGAATAACTCAACACATTTAGGGCCATACCATCCATGGAAACAAACTGATAGCTTAGAAATTAACGTTATGTATTATCAGCAAATCTGACCATGGTCGTAAGCATTGCATCCTAGGTGTGTGTTCAGTGTATGTCGGTTTTTGAATTGAAGCCAATTTCAGAAGAGATCAAGATCATAAACAATTTGATACTTACTAGTTTGATGATCCCAGTTTTTCACTTTGATCCACAGTTTTGTGCCTGAATCAACCTGCCAGACATGAGAGATTAGGGGCGTCCGCGGTTTACGGTTCAACCGGAACAGTAGGATTTTTAACCGGAACCACGTAGTAGCTCCTGTCTGGAGCAAAAGGTTTACTAACACGGTTTGGTTCTCCCAAATTTTGGAACCAGGAATGCCGGTTCGTGTTTCAGAACCGGGCAGTACCAGTTTGGAACCATTGGTTAAAAATCAATAGTAGTAGTAATGATAATAGTAGCAGTACTTACAATAACAACAGTAGCAGTAATACTTTTTATAATAATTACTCCCTCCGTCCCTTTTGTAAGATACACTTTCCTTTTTGGGTTGTCTCAAAAATATGATCACTTTCCTAAATTGGACTCCACTAACTTTTTACTTTCCCACTAAGATTGCCCCATCTTTGATCTTTCATTTTTGGTCCGTCCCACTAAGATTTTCTCATACCAAATTTGGTAACATTTGTGTGGTTCTAAATCAATTTAATATCAACTACATAAACTCACATTTCTTGATAACTGCACCACCTTCTCTTTTACCAATGTTAGGGAACGGAGGTACTACTAGTTATTAATTACGTATTATAATAATTAGTTATAAATATAATAAATAATAGTTGTCATAAAGAACACTGGAAGTCTGGAACTCTTATATTGAATAGGTTCCATTTTTTACTACGAACTAGTATTACTTATTCTAATTTACAAAATATTAACTATATTATAACAACAACAACAACATTACTCCAGTGTCGCAATGGCTCCCACCTACGGTAGGGAAAATATTAACTAAATTATAAAATAAATAAATAAATAAGAAATGGAAAACCATATAAGAACCGTGGGTTTTGGAACCAGTACTATGCGGTTCCAGTTCCCAAAAATTTGGAGGCACGAACTGCCAGTTTGGTTGTGGTTCAGGAACGGAGATAGGCCTAGGGGACATCCGCATTAGCATTTGCGAAGATATGTGAATAAGCATAAGAAAACCCTTTCAAAGATAAAGAATACCTGCTCAAGAGTATAATCTTGCATCTTTTCGCATAGCTCATCCAATAGTTCGACAACTCTCAGGTCACTAACCCTGATAAAATTGCCAAGAAATCAGTTACTCAAGATTTCTCAAAGGATTTCATACAACTTCACCGCTTATTTAGAATCGGATAAATAACCTCAAGAAACATACACAGATATGGTCAAGATGAATATTAAAAAACAAAAAGAAAAGAACAATCTGTCTGAGGAATGAAAACCTCACTTTTTAGAGCTCTCTTAAAAAAGTAAGAAATTGAAATTTAGTAAAAATATATTTGGAAGTGATCCTCCTGGAGTGATTAGGACAAGTGAAATGAGTACAAGTATGAAAGCACATGGCTGTGCTTATAATCCAATTGTCTTGCCCATGTTATGAAAATAAGTAAAATAATAGTTGAGATATAAAGTTGGCATGATCAGCAGCAGAATAAGAAGAGTGCCACTGAGGGATGAATAGTAAAAATCAATCAATAGAAATAAATAAAAAATAGTAATATGACAATATACCTGTAATCTATAAGCTTGCCATCACGTTGGCCTTTAGAGTCTAAGCGATATCTCATATCTAAATGATTTCTAGGCTTCTCCTGTTTGGTGAAATCAAGTCATTGGAGGACTATTTATATATAGCATGCAACATAATGTGGCAAATTGAAATACGTAGTACAGTACAACTGTACAAGACAACTATCGATTAAGAGGCCATTAATTAGCACAAGCTATACCTTTTTTTAATCCTATCAAAGGTATCTTAATTGAAGCCAATTGAGTTTATGTCAAGGAATTTGTGAGAATAAACTCAAAGACCGAGACAGCAAATCCTCCCTGAGTACAATTCAGGGTTCCACTTACATTCTAATACAGATGGTAAAGACGCCTTTATAATAATGTTATAATACAAAAAGCTCTTCTTCCCAAGATCTGCTCAACAGCCCAATTGTATTCAAAATGGTAAGCTCTTAACTCTTAAGCATGGACTCCAACTTAAGTCCACCCATCTCTTACATAACCATTTTGATTTAAGAGTACTAAAAAGAGATCTATCATATGCAATGAATGCCACATAAAGCAGTTAGATTCAAGCAGGGATGACAAAAAAGCTTTATGGAATCCTTACATTCATCAAACCACGCTCCAGCTCCTCCTGCCATTCAGGACAACAAACACTCAGAATTGCTAAGATGGAATCACTGTCTTTCACAAATCCATACATTCAAATATAAATTTAAATAAATAAACAAACTAAATGATGCAAAAGTTCAGTAATTCTTCTTCCGTGGGAGCTTCACATCCCAGGCTCATAAGCTAGTACCAGGCTACCAGCACAATAATCAAAGGCACCACTTTCATACCAATATTCGCTCAAATTAGCCAAGTTAATCACAGTGTGAGCTTCGGGTGGAAGAGTCCAGAAACGATAGGATGGATACTCACGGCAATGGCGGTGCACGCGGAGCATTTGTGTTCGATGGAATGGACGAAGGGCCGAACGGAGGCTAATACAATCGCAATGGAAATCAATAGTGCTTTCGCCATTTCCCAAACGGAACCCTGTTACCTTCCTAGCTGCCTCCCGCGGCAAAAACCAGAGTCTACTTCCTGTGGCGCTCTAACAGGATTGGCTCACCAAAAATGGTGGAGAGACCTCCACAGCCACGTCACTGGACCGGCTTTTGTTGATTATCTTCCAATGGGTATTTGACACGTAAAGCATTTGCCGATCTGTGTTGCGATGGACTACACGTCATCTGCTGCTCCCTATACTCCGCATATAGGGCAGTCGGGCAGAGGAAAAGGCCATTTGTGCAAAAATTTGTTGAATCCCCTTATTTTGATGAAATTTATCAAGTTGTGGTTGGAGTGGTTATACTGACTGATTCTGTTTATTTATGAAAAAAATTATATGTAATGTATTTTTTATTAATAAAACAAATAAAACTTATATGAAAACATAGTTAAAATGATCTTATATAGTAATTTCAGTCAATACAACCAGACAAGTAACTTTAATCTTACTTTTTCTTATTACTACACACTTCAGCGCACGACATCAAATATTACATATTTGGAGAAAAAGTTGGTTGAAAAGCCGAAAAATAGGATCATCAAATGGGCTCGTAGTGTACTTCGTACACAATTGGTTTAATTTGGGTCGGATAATGATATGTTTTTAATTTGTTCTGGTGTGGTGTTAACTAATTTGCTCCGGTAAGTTTATCTTTGTGTATTTTATAATAGTCGAAGTTTGGTGTGATTTGATCTGTTTAAAACTAGTTTGATCTAAGATCTGAGTTGCTCTGTTTAAGTATGGTCTGGTTTAATCTGATATGATCCGCCATGGTCCGGGACTGAAAACAAGTAAAACTATCATAAATCCATATGAAATTTGGTGGGAAGATATCCAATTGATATATGTGTAAATTATTTACAAAATGTTGAGATATTGGCATATCACACAACATATCCAGCCCAATACCCCTAATTCATTTGCATGAAGAGAAATGGTCAACCAGGTAATACAGGGGAGCGAGCGTCGCAGAGGGCTAGCACTGGCTCCAACAAGATCAGAGCTCGGGCCAACCAATCAAAAGAACGTCTGACATCAAGGTTGAGCACTGAATCATGGTGTGGGCGGCATAAACAACATAAACAACGACACATTCGGGACATATGGGCCCAAGCAGGTATTTAACATAGCCCTAGGGCAGACGGCCTTTCATAGTCGAACACATCAACAACCAAACCAATGCAAGCATCATCAATAATGGTAGGAAACCACAGCTTTGGCGAGAAACGCATTTATGCAAGGAGTGGCAATCACAATCATCAACATGAAGGATGGGCCAACAAATGTCTTGGAGGGGACCCTAATCAATCACAAGGTGGGCGTCATCCGTGTCCATACCAGCACATTGATATAAGTATCCCGTATTTACATCATTTAGAACTGAGAGGGCATGGTTTCCTAATGAATTTCAGATTTTTAAAGAGTGTTAACTACAAAAAGTTATCATATCTTGAGACTATGAACGATTTATGACAACCATAATTTACATCATTTAAAACTGGGAAGACTATCAAATAGGTTCCCTTACTATTGCAAAAAAGTCAATTGAGTCATCATACTTTTCAATGAACCAATTAAGTTCACGAAGTATTAAAAATACTCCCTACATCCCTTAAAACTTTGTCAAATTTGACTGAAATGAGAAATAATAAAGTAAAAACTGTGTGATTAAGGTTTGTATAACGGAAGGAGAAGTAATAAAAATTAAAACCACAAATCAATTGACTAAAAGGGAAAGTGACAAAGTTTTTGGAACAACTAAAAAGAGAAAGATGACAAAGTTTTAAGGGAGGGGGAGAGAGAGAGAGGGAGAGGGGGGGGAGAGGGGGAGAGGGAGAGAGGGAGAGAGGGAGAGAGGGAGAGAGGGAGAGAGGGAGAGAGGGAGAGAGGGAGAGAGGGAGAGAGGGAGAGAGAGAGAGAGAGAGAGAGAGAGAGAGAGAGAGAGAGAGAGAGAGAGAGAGAGAGAGAGAGAGAGAGAGAGAGAGAGAGAGGAGAGAGAGAGAGAGAGAGAGAGAGAGAGAGAGAGAGAGAGAGAGAGAGATGCACTGGGCTAGGAGAAGAAGGAAGAAAGCGGAGAAGAAGAAATGGCCATGAGGAAGAAAGAAAGAGAAAAGAAGAAAAAAGTCTACGTGGATCGCCACGTGTGTAGGCCTATAGGGTGACCGCATCTCAATCGGTTTAAAAGGCTAGTTTGATTGTTTTTAACTCTTTGTGGACTTAATTGATTTTCCAAAAAGTACAGGGATCCAATTAACTTTTTAGTAATAGTACGATGACATTTTCAACATTTTCCCTTCAAAACTCAAAGAGTATTGTTCATAGTGAATTTTATATTATTAAAACCCTTTTTCGGAAAATCATATGACCATATATCTTTTGTCACACCTACTCTTCCATCATTCTTCTCGAGAATGTCCATCATGGTCTTGTTTTCTATCTCAATATCTTGAAACAATCCTTCTTTAATAGTCTTCTTACTCACCATTTTAAAGCATGAATTTCAACCGTTCCCAAAATTCCTGAATCCAATATGCTCACCATCTTTAGATGGTATTCGTGTAGATTGATCATCAGAGCACTCCAAACATGAAAGTTCTTGATCAAAGTTGAACGGTGAGATTTCAAACTTATTCTTGGTGCTTGCTTGCAAAATTTGTTGTCGCATATTTTTTTCAGTCTTTTGTTGCATCTTTGTAATGTTTACTCAAGTGACTCGTATCATTCTTTAGACCACCCAACAAAAGTGTTCGACGATATTTGCACCTTGCTTTGAGCTTTTCACCAAATGTCTTTCTCATAATGTTGTCAAATCTTTTACTTTAGACTTTTTAGTTTTGCTACATCAGTTTCAACTTCTACTGCCTCTTCACCATCAACATTAGCCTCTAATAGTATGTCATCAAGAGATAAGTCACCTCCATCAATAAACAGATTAGGTGATAAATTTGGTACCCGTGTGTTATAGGGGTGGTAGGTAATGAGCTTCCGTCAATCTCCATTGATAAAAGATCTACAAAAATTATTAAAATTTAAGTAATGTCATAGTTCTAAAAAAAGAACTGTTACGATGAGTGGTTCTACTATTCTCCATCTAAAATAGTGAAATTGATACTCAGAATTATGTGATCTTATGAATACTTTGTAGAAATATTATACTACACAAGTCTTGTTCATTTTCTTAACCAATTAACTTGATACAATTACGTCGAGTGTGTGGTGAACTTTGATACATTCACTAGGCGCGCCTCTCGGAACTGTCACATATTGTTCCTCTTATTTCCACTTAAACGTCGAGAGCAATGTTTACTTGACTGGTTGACCCCTACTTTCACATTGTCAACTTTCATTGGCCAGGTACGACTCCCAATGGAAATCTTGGCCCCATAGACTCTCTGACATTGGATATGTATCAACGTTGTTCTTCTTTATGATTAAATTAGTAGTTGTCAAAGATTATACGTAGTATTCCCGAGCAGCAGTGGCGTATCCACTATATGGACAGTGAAGTCAGCTGCCCCTCTTTAACCCCAACCTAGCCCTATATACATATGTATAAAATTTTATAGAAAATTGCTCTATTAAAATAATAGAAGGATAAAAGTTCACTAAACTTTGTTGTTTAACTTCTATTTAGGTCATGTTCTCAAATTTTAACTGCAATTGCATCTTTGCACACACCTAATTAAATTGATCTTCTTTTTGTTCATACTTGTACGTATATATTTTAAACGAAGTCTAATCAAATATTATTA